GCAAGCATCTTAACCACTGTCTTCTATAGAGTTATTTGGTTTGGTTATAATAATGGCTTTAAATACTCCTGGTATCTTGAAGCATGAAACAAAGATGTATGTACATGTGCATGGGTTTGCAGACGCATCTTTTCTAGAGATGCATTCATATGCAGAAATATGATGACACTGAACATAAATAAAAGTATTGATATCAAGCAAATGGTTGTGGAGATGACTGGGTGTGCCTGGAATGTGTCCCTCTGTCCCTTTGCCAGGGTTTGCTCAGGAGAATCAGACACCTGAGAGCAGAGCCCTGGTAGCATGTCAATCTGCCAGAACTGGGCAGGAATAGGAAGAGAGAAGCAGTGCTAAAATCCACTGTTTCTTCTGCAAGGTCACCAGAAATGAATCTGGGCTGAGGAAACAGAAACATGTTCTGAAGTGCTGTCTTCACAATCAATATCCTGTGCTACCTTGCTGCATGTCACTTTCCCATATGTATGGGAGTTGGTACAATAGGTAAAACAACTAAGCGAAAAGAAAACAGTCTGACTGTCTTGAAAAACTTGTCTTTTTCCTTTTGTAATGATTTGGTGAAACATGTTCTAAGCCTAGAGTATTGGTCTTGCTCATCTCAGGTTAGAAGGAGTTGGTGTTTGTCCTGTGAGTAAATTGTTTGTTCCTTGGGAAGGGCAGGGGTATGGAAGGGCACATCTGCTAGCTGTGGACACTGGAAGTCTGGGATCATATCTGCAGCCCACTTGGCAGCAGAGGCTGGGATTTAAACCTTGTGTCTCTTCTCTGCAGCCCTCACTATGGGGATACCCTGTTTCCTGACCCAAGTGGGTTCACATGAGACCATGTCCGGGTGGTCATGGGCAAAAGTAGGCCAAGCACCTCCCTGTACTAATCTAGAAGACTGATCTTTCCTGCAGCTTGCCAGTATAAACATACCCTTTGTGTTTTGAACCTTACCTTTGTATTTCACAAATCTGTAACTTTTAGAAAATTTTTGTTCTCTGACCAAGAAAGTCTACTTCATGAAGAAAAATGCATGCGAGATCAAGCTGTTTGAAGGTGGCAGAGTTAGTCAGGCTCTGCTGACCAGTGCTCATGGGTTATGTGAGACAGCATTGCCCTCACTGCACAGTGTGACAGGGTGAGCTCATTCTCACTGTGCAGCTATACCACATACATCACTTCCCCCTGCTGTATGAGGAGCAAAAGATAGGATTTATTTTTCATATAGTCTCCAAATATATGTTGCTAAAGCTTTAGTAGAGTCTTGTTTCATAAATATTAAGTCATGAGAAACTTTGATCTGTGGCCAAACATGCCACACTATTTAAACAGTTATCTTGCTTGCTTTGAAGTCTGCTATTTCAACACACCAGGCAGTCTGATTATCTCTGGGCTGCATCATTTAGCAGGCAAATAGCTACTCTGTGACAAAGCATAGCAATCCTGTAGGTATGAAATAATAGATAGAATTACATCAGGGTCTAAAACAATTACCTCGAATCCACATTTTCAGGTTGCTTATACTACGATCACAAACACAACCAGCTTTTCATCCTTATCTGCTGAGGCTAACAACTCACACTGTCAAACTCTCACCCAACCTGCACCAGTTTGTCCTTAAAAATGCTGGTTGCCACCAGTGCCAAGCAAGGCTCTAAGCCTCAGTGTATGCTGTGTTTACAGGTTTCAAATTTGGTTCTGGTTACAGACTGAGTCTTCCATGAGTGATGACTTGTACATGTAGACTAGTACACAGGGGTTTGGCCATGGCTCCTTCTGCCTAGCTGTAGTAGACATCTTCAAGGGGAAAAAGAATGTTTTTAAATAGTTATTTTTCATGTAACTAGGAAGAAAGTGATCAGCTAGAGGTTTTAGCTGTGCTTTTGTTGTTTTGTCTCCTCAGTGAGACACTTCCATTTCAGTGAACAGAGACAGGCTGATAATGCCTTCCACCAATTTGTAGCTGACTACCTCAGTTACTGGAGATAAGACAGAATAAATAATGATGAAAAAAGTGCTTTTGGTCAAGTTGCTAAACATCTAGTGACTGAGTAACAGAGTGTCAGCATGTCAAATAAGATAAGAAGGCAAAGAAAAGGAGCTTTGCATTGCCTTACCCTGTTTTCAGGGTGAAGAAGATTAAAGCGCTGCTGGTGAGACAGGTTTCTTCTGACTGCCCCAGCCAGGGGACCCTGTTAGCACAGGAATGGTCAGGCAGCAGGTCCCTGGTGGCAGGGCAATCCTCCTGGCTGCTGCTTTGCCTCATTTGCCTGTAGGGAGTGATGGTGGTGAGATGCTGGTGAGATCCTTACCTCCTCAGTCTCAGTGTGAAGCAGGCCTTGTTTCTATACCAGTGCCTTTTGGTTAAAATCATGATGTACACTTGCTATAAATACAACGCAACCTCTGCTGGAAGGACACTGTGGTTTGTACAGATCACAATGTACAATGTTGTATCCAGTTTTGTGATGAGGACCCAGCACATAACAGTGTGTGAGACTTTTGCTTCTCTTCCTTTCTCAGTAACCCCTGGGACTCCAGTGTATCTGATGCTGCTTTGTATGCAAAGATGAGAATTTACCAGCAGACTTACTGATACCTCAGCATTTTTTCCTAAGAACTGTAATTAGTCTAGTTACAAAACTAAGATGCAGTACAGATTACTTGCAGTTAAACCTTTCCATGCATTAGTTTTTAGTATCCTCCCCACTCCCTGGTGTTATGATCACCCTTTCTCTGCCCTGCTTGGTCCTTAAGTTTTGTGGCTTCATCCCTGAGGGAAGGGCACAGTGGGACAGTTGCATCCTGATCCTTGATAGGAGGGGTGTAAGGATGGTGGGGACAAACTCCAGGGTCCATCTGGCATCACTTTCATACATTTTCTATTTTTCTGTATGCTTTACTCCTCCTTCGTTGGTTCATAGAACCCCGTATGTTTGATCTTACTACCTGTGGTGTGCCTTACATGCACTGAGCACCCAATCTGTGTTCTTCTGTTTATCTCCAAGACTGGTTTTACCCACCTCCAAAGGCTGCAGTCTTTTGAAGGTCAATTACTGTGCACTGGTGAGCTGTTCATGGCCCTGAGGCCACCAGAGTCATTCTGAGCCTGAACTCTCAAACCTCGTTATCATCACTCTGCACCTCTACCCTTTCATTTTTCATTCTAGGTCCATAGACAGAACACATGCTACACATGCTCATTCTTGATAATTACTGGTTACGGAGATTTGTATTTCTAGTGATGCATAGACGTAATACAATTATACAAATCCAAGGAAAATAATAAATTAGATAACAATATGTATCCAATACTGTTACACATAAAGATGCTAAGACAAAACTCCAGGCAGGCCACATGTAGCCAAGCAGAGCCTGACAGATGGAGAGATGTGCACCCTGTGCTCTTGCAATGAAAAGAGGCTTCCTGTCTCACCAGAATTTAACCAGGTCACCAAAACCTGGGATGGCCATGAGTGCAGCTTTGAGCCTCACCCCCTGCTGTGTCAGTAGCTAATGATTGTGGTCCCTAACTACTTCTGAGATACCTCTCTGCTTCACTGATAATTACATCAAAGGGAGCAACTCCGTGAAGGGGGAGGGCTGAAAATTTGCCTTTTTGCCCAATCTTTCCCACTCTGCTGATTGACAGGAGGCAAGGGGCCCTGTTGCCACCCTTCCCCAGTTTTTGGGAGTAGGAGGAAAGTGAGTACTGCCTAGCCAAGCCAGCAGCATCCACCTCCTGCAGGAATGGTGCTGATGGTGGGAGGGGAAAATGTCTGCAGGAGGTGGAGTGGGAGGCTGCGAGCAAGAGCTGGTGCAGAGAGGAAATACAAAGAGCAAGTGTAAAAGAGAAAATCTGGTGGTGCTCATTGTGATGAGAGCAGGATTCTGAGAGTAGGACTTGGTGGTTAGAGGAGAGATGAGGATGGGACACATAATAAACAGCACAGCATGGACGTAGGCAGGGAGCAAGCTGTCTGCTGCTCTTTTGTGCTGTGTGTGGTGCCTGCCTCTACTTCAACACTGTCTCTGGCAAATTCTGCAGTGGAAAAATCATAGTAAGGTGTCAGTAAACCAGGGGCTGTTGCCTGATGAAGAAAGCCTGGCAGACAGCTCCCCAGCACTAATCATGACACTGGCAGGAAATCTCTTGTGAGGATGGCAGACGCTCATTGCTGGCTGTTACCACCCAGTTTTCCCATGGTTGGCATCTAGACTTTGCACTGCCTGCTGTCCCTGCTACTTCCGCAGCTTAGAGAGGTTATCCAGGAGAGACATTGCAGAGCACTAGTTCTGCATGGCAGCATACTTGCCTCTCTCTCCTTTCCTTCCTAGAGCTCTGTGGTCTCATTTTTTCAGAATGTAGGAAAGAAACAGAACTCCCACATCCTGCTTGTGACTGGGGCATGTGTCTGCGAGGGTAGGAAGGAAAGCAGTCTCTTTCCCAAGATAGAGATTTACAGCCTGAAAAAGCTGATTCAGCTGATGTGGGGGATTCTCTTGATCTTCAGATCTCTCCCAGTATCATGTGGGAACAACCCTCTTCCTACTACATTCTATTTATAAATATCCATTCCAAAATGGTTTACAAGCAAAGGAATAAGATTTAGCCTTGTGGCTGCCACAGATAATTGTGCATCTGGGACACTGTGTTTCTTCCACATTTCTTGATGTGAACCACAAACCATGCTACTAAGATCAAATACATCACTTTTTTTCTTCTAGAGAAAACTGGCATGGTTCTCAGGTGCTCAAGAAACCTCACTTGAAGATCTGACCTCATTGAACCCTCTCATTCCTAGAGGTTTCTCTGTTGCTTCTCTATATATCAGTTAACAGTAGGAGTGATAGTGGCTAAGACTGGTCCTGTTAATTCTGTATTGTGCAGTTATATTTCAGGAAGATGACAAACCTGCATGGTCAGACAGGTTGTCTTAGGAATTATTTGTGTGCGTGTTGGGCCACAGAACTGCTGTAACAGATAGAGTGCAGGAAGGAACCAGGAAAATGGTGTAGTGCGCATGTATCTCATTCACTGGGATTCTTGCCATCAGTGTTTGTCAGTTGGTCATAAACTTTCCTATTCAGAGATTATGAGCAGTTAGTCAAAAAGCCCAACCGAGGACCAAGTGTGACAGTCAACAGGAAAATTTTTATTAGAAATACAGAACAGAAAGGGATATTTCCTTTTCTCTGTAAAGGAGAGACAGTGCTTTGGTCTTCCTTTTGTGTGTCAAGCTGAAAATCACCCTTGCTCTAATTTCACAGAGACTGATGTGGCTGAAGCTTTTTGCGTCCCAAGCCATTTGACCGCTCCTGCAGTATTTCCTGATCTGCGATACCATTTCACTTCCTTCCAAAACTGCAGTTGTAGTTAAGAGTCAGCTGTGGTCTTTCTTGTACCCATTTTCAAAGCAAGTCTGTTGAAAGAGGTTATCATTCTGCCCTCAGGCTGTTCTAACTCTCATGGTTGGCTGTCACCGCTCCCTGGGTCTGGAGATCTGCTCACAGGGTGATATCTACATATCTACCTTTAGTAGCTATGGAAGGATGGCACTTTGCTAGACCAAATCACAGCTGACAATATGCTTGTGTAATTGTTGTCCAAATACCTCACCTTCTCATCTAGCTACATCCTCCTGACAACTGATGGATACACGTGTGAAGAGTCAACTATTAACGTGTGCTAAGTCTGCCAAATAGACAATACTTGTTTGAAAGTCCTCAGGATGAAGAATAGCTCTGTTTTGAGCTGAAGGAAGGCTTTCCAGAAATATTTGCTGCTAGATTAACACTAAAAGTGATAAATGATTTATGGAGAAGAGAATTCTCTCTCCCTACTGAAAACAACTCCTCATGTTTCCAGTGTTGACGGAAGCTTCAGTCTCCCATGACCCTACGTTCCCTACGTTGTTGATTCAGCTCTTCTCACTTCTTATTTACTTGTTTATGTATTTATGGTAAATTACAACTGCCTATGCTTTGTTTGCAGAAGCGTTAATCATTTTATCTGATATTCTGACTGACAATGAATTGCTAAGCAGGAATCTTCCATTGATGTACAAACATTTCTCTCTCAATACTGGCAATTCTTAGCAGGTTTTTCCTTGTTTTTCAGTCAAATAAAAGAGTCATTCTTTGGTAGAAGAATTTAAAGCATTTTTCATACTTCCTCCTAAGAAAGTGTCACAATCAATACCTAGAGTTTTTGATAATGACATAGAATAAAAACTCTTGCTGAAAAAGAGCTTTATACTTTGCTGGTGCAAATGGAAATAAGCATTGTGCAGTTTCACATCTTCTTTAATTAGTAACAATAATTAGAGTTCATATCTCACTTCTGCTAGTGGTACTTGGGTTAGCTATTTTTCCTATGAAGAGAGTACTGTTTGTGTCTCTGTCAAAAATCAGCATCAGGAAGGGATGGTTGAATTCAATTCTAGGAGCAAGAGTGAGGGCCATTATCTTAGGAGCAGTTGTTGCTGCAGCCGCCGCAGCCTCAGTACCTCTCTCATCAACATCCAGAGCAGCCTTATGGATAACCTAGGAAGAAAGAAAACAGTCATTCTGGGCAGCAACCAGCCACATGAAAGATGAACCAGACTCCATTTAAATCACTCCTCCTTTGGAGGATCCTCCACAGAGGACTTGTAAGAGCAGAAGAGATGTGAGCTGCATTGCTGTAGGCAGCTGCTTTAAATGAAGACCAGGATAGAGCAGCAGCAATCTCCTCAGCTCCTCATGAGCTAAGAGCAGAGTCTGTTCTCTTTTTCCTTACACTGGGACAAGTGCTTTTATTTGCCCAGATACCTCTGAGGAAAGGAGGCATCTGAAGAGGAGGAAAAGGGATTGTTTAGGCAAAGACAAGATAAACTGCCACTACATTCACAAATAAGAAAAATGAGAGAGAGAGAGAGAGTCTCTTTTATCTAAATTTCATCCCTTAATCTTGAAATTTTCCTTGATCTTTCTTTCTCTTGTGCTTTCTTTCACCAGTCTTTCCTCCTCATGATGAGATAAGAGAGGTGCCTGTGCCCAGCTGGCCCCAGACCTAGTAGGGCTTCATTTCTGCCTCCAGCCATTCTGTCCCAGGGTAATCAGAGTCCTGCTCTGCTCTCTTGTCCACATGTTAAAGGGGGTCAGCTCTGCACTTCTGAAACTGAGTCAACAGAGCAGTAGGGTGGGCTGTAGTGTGGCTGGGAACATTAATGGCTCTTCCTGAGAAGCTGAGGTTTGGTGCTCTTCTCATGCTCCACACATGCCCTGGGAGATCTTACTTGAAAACAGCCCTTGGAAAAAGAACTGTGCAGCAAACTAATCTGATCATTGTCACTGGCATCCAAACTCCTCTCAGTTGTAAACTTACAGACTGAAGCCAGGGTAATCCAGGATATGGCAAGCTGGAAAGCCACGAACTGTGTTTAACTGATGTTTCTGGGCACCATAGGGGTGTGTGTTTGTGAAAGGAAGAGAAGGGTTGGTGGCAACAGACTTACTTTAGAAACCTTCAGCTCTGGGACACCAGTGATTCCAGAGAGATCTGCCTGGTTGGTGAACACGTCCACAATTCCCATCTTGCTAAGTACGTTTGTTATTTCATAGCTCCCAGAGATAGAAAATTTGGGGAAGTAGAGCTGTATTTTGCTGTTGGGCAGAAGAAAAATACAGAGGGTGGTAAGACATCTTTTGCAGAGGTAAATGTTCATGGGAAAGCTGTGTAATTCCCATGGGTGTCAAATACCAGCGGGCTCAACCAGCCATAAAAATACAATGAACACTAATCCGTTGGCTCTTCTTACAGATGCTGTAACTCACAGTAATAACAGTGATATTTATCTGGTGTTTTGCTTTAGCAAATATGAGAGCACTCAGCAAAGGAGGGCAGTAACGAGAGTCTTTTTACAGTTAGGAAACATGAGATGCAGAGGTGGCAGCCCATGTCACTCAAGCAGGGAGGGGGATGAAATAGTTCATATTGACACGTTTACTGGGCACCCCATCTTCTCTATTTTCTAATGTCTCTCCTCCACACACTTGCTGTGGTAGAGTCTGTGTTCAACAGTGAGAAGCAGATAGGGAGTGTAGACATACTGAACAAGTTCTGTCCAGCTCTGGAGATCAAAATGTACTCCCCAAGTCACTCCTGATGGAATTTGCACCACCTCCAGGCTGCCTGTGTGCACCTCCTGCTTGCTATGCTTTTTGCTTGATTTCTTTCATGTGCTGTCTAGGGGTCTTCAAAGCCCTCTAGGCACCTATTCCTGGGGTAACTTAGCTCATATCCAGTTTGTTGCCCATTGTGTCTTTATTAACTATGTCAGTATCTCTATGGCATACAACAAGAATCATGAGCGTGAACTGCAAAGCCTTGTTGAGAATCAGGGCAGAGCTTGGTAAATTAGGCATATATTACCTTGATATTACTCATCAACTGGTGCTTAGATCTCCTTCCTCTCAGTCAAACAATACTGTAAGACATACTAGCTGATGTTAGTTTCAGAGACAGAATTCCAGAAAATCAGGAATCACCAGCCTGTTCTAACAAGTACTGGGTACTGCAATGGTCCTTGTAAAGACGATATCCATGTAGGGGATTATTATGAATTAATACAAAGTTACCGTTTATTTAGGGTTTAAGACATATTTCTGAGTCATATGTCACTGACACAATATATAAGGTAGAACATATTAGCTGAGATGTGACTGGGGTTTTGCCTCAGAACTGCCACTCTCTCACTCAGTGGACTGTTTTAAAAATCCTATATGGGATTACTGTTCAGCACTCTCTATCCCCTATCAGGATGGTTTCTGCTGTGGTGGGGGAAGCATAAGGTCACTTAGGCATAAACAAGGGAATAGTTAAATACCAACCAGCTGCAAGGTTTTCATAGCTAGGATGCACAAGAAAAAAAAAAAATAGCCCACTCAGTTATCAGGATCAGCAAATCTGTAGTATCGCATTCCCAAAAGAGAGGAAAAAAAGCATAGATCTAGGTCCCACTGCAGCTGACTGGCAGATTACCTCTTGAATAGATGGTCTGACCATTTCTTGACTCTTTCCTTGTCCAGAGTTTGTTCTAACTGCTTCATTTTTCCTTTTGCTGGCAGAACTAGAAACGCAGTAGCACTTCCATTGTAATGAAGACGTACCACGGTGCAAGGCGGGTCCGCATCAAAATACAAGTCAAATATGCCAACCTGATACATCATAGGAACTTTCACAGTAGTTTCAGCATCCACAAAGAACTCCCTTTCTTCAGTGTTCTCCGGTTTAAAAGGCTTTTCCCAGTTGCCTGATATAGAAAGGGAAATGCAACTGAATATCCCACATCTCATCTCATCATAGATGGAATGTTATATAACTAATTGTATGCACCTATTCTTAGAATTCATAAATTCAGTTTTCAAACTTACCATTTTAAGATGTATGTCACAGTAAAGCAAGAATCTTATACTCAGTCAAGAGAGCATATTAGATTCCATTACTTCTCTTAGTAATCTTTCTGTAAACTGTGATTTGAGGGCTCACCTGACAGCATCTGTACTCTGTATACATTTGATTTCTATTAACTTTAATAAAAGTCTGTCTGTAGATAAAATTGATGTAGGATCTTATATTTGAGTGCTACTGTGTCAAGCTTAATACCACATCATGAAATCCACATTGGAAATACCGTTTCCACTTTGTTTCTTAAAATGTCTTTCTCTGATGATCAATAGCTTCTTTCATTTATAAATATGTTCGTGTGTATATATTTCAAGGACTTCAGAAGGAAAAAATAGGATTTTATAGTATATATTAGGCCAGTGAATAGTGCATGTTTCTACAGCCTTCTAAAAGATTAGACATGCATTTGTGCATTTACTGAAAACTGAAAAAATGTAGGGCAACTGCAGCCATGAAAGTGTGTTAGGGCTGCACAGAGGCTGCATCCCAGAGCAGAGCTCCTGCATCTGCCTTGGGCAGTGCTCAGCCTTCAGGATTCAGCTGCTCTTCTTGGCCCAAGCTCACCAAAAGGGGCTTCAGTCCCACCAAAGAGCATTTAAATTTCTGCTGGAACAGTTTCCCAGTGAGGCTGCTGATGAGATCACTTGATTAAAAACAAATAACACAAACATTAAGATGACTTACCTCTAAAGAAAACAAAGCTAGCCAGGAGCATTACAGTCTGTGGATCAATTTCCTTAACCAAATTAGTAATCTTCCCTTGTGTTTTCTTCTCTACATAATCATTGATCTCCTTCTCAGCCTTTGTGGGATTGTTGAAGTCAGTAGCTAAAACCTCTAGTTGATACAAAGGTTTGGCATCATCTAAGAACTTTTCTAGTGGTTTCAGCTTCTCTGTTAGAAAGATTGCATTCCCCATGTTGAGCTGTACCCCACTCTCAGGATGGCTCAGCATGTGCATAAGATTGTGGAAGCCATCATGTATCTCTTTCTCCTGAATCTCTGTAAGGTTAAAGGCAAGTCCTTCCAGGATCTGAGTCTTGGTGATTGACCTAGCCCCCAGGGCCAACATTGCAAAGGCAGTGGAGATGCTTACAGGAGAGAAGAAGATGTTCTTATTAGGTTCTTCCAGTGCAACCTCATTTAGAAATTTAAATGCAAAGTCAGCATTGTTTGGCACTAGCTTGAGGCAAGCAGCTGCTTCAGCATTATGATGTATATGGTCGTTATGTTCATTTGGATCATGTCCATTGTGGTGGTTGGCTGTAAGCTGACCATAGGCAAAAGCATGAAGCCCAGCCAGAAGCAAACATATATAAAATACAGTCTTCATCTTGTATTAAAATCCTGTGGAGAAAAGGAAAATCTATTAAGGTAAATTAATAAATCAAGTAGAAAGAATTACTTTATCATTCTCATTAAAAAAGAGCTCATGTTTTTCTCATCTCAATTTCCTTTAAAAGAAAAAAATCCAAAACATCTCTTGCCAGGCATGATTTTTTCTCTTTTGTTGTTGTTGTTTGCTTTAATTTCCCCTGGCCTTCTGACAAATCTTCCAGAACTCTTTTTGCCTCACACTAAATGCCCACGAAGGCAAAATTCAGCACTGATTTGCTGAATACACAGCACCCTCAGCAGGCCAGAAAACAGCATACCCCACCAGAAAACATACCATGACTAATCATTGGAGGACAGCAATAGTACTGTGCTTTTGACAATAATGGTCTAAGATAATTCCTGGAAAGAACATCACAGAGCAAGTCTGGATGTTCTGCTAGTGAAGGAAGAGAGAAGAAATTCACACAAGTGGACAGACAGCAGTAGCTACATACAAGTAGAACTGGAGCAATTAGTTCCAGAGATCTTCAAATAACCTTTTGGTCAGATTGATAAGGCCCTCTATTTCAAGAGAGAACAAACGATGGTGGCTGTAGCAAACCAAACATGAGCTTTATGTATCTCAGGAATAGGTTCTCTTTCTTTCTCAATAAAAGTGATATGACACTTAAAATAAGAACCCAAAGTAATGTTTTATCTCTTAATAGACAAACTGAACCATTGGAGAGGATTCATTTTCAACAAAGCAGAAGGAGTCAATGACACCAAGAAAAGCAAGGCCTTATTTTTTATCAGATGCTCTTCTGGTCAAAGGGCAGTACATTTATCTTATCCTGTTACTCTCAGCTGTGTTATCTACATTTCTTTACAGAACTGACACTGTAACAGCTCTTACAATTGAACATCAGAAATGTGGAGTCCCAGTGGGCCTCATTTCTTGGGAATCTAATGCAAAGAAATGGTGAGAAACTTGCAAAGGATTTGTGGAGATAATGAGCCAGATTTGCTAAAACTTGTGCAAGGAGAGACACATTGATCTAACTGCACCATTCTATTCTGGTATTATTTGACTTGAAAGACTGTGGTCAGGAAGTGATATGATCATGGTCCTGATTTCACCATAACATCAGAAAGATCATTTTTCATTAGTACTTGAGTATCTAGTTATGATTAGACTTGAATAAGAGCAACAAAATTTTGAGGTATAATCAGATGTTTAAACAACTGCAAGTCTGATGAAAGTATTTCTAAAAGGCTGTCCTGCTTGCAGCAGCACTATATTATTGATAAATGTAATGGTCATGAGTGTCCCTGGTAACTGCATTTTCAATTACTGTGCACAGTAGTTTATAATTATATTTTGGCCTCCTCCTTTGATTCTGTCATTGAAATTATACTGCTCAGTATAACTATCCACTTCTAACTCATCGTAAAAGCTCTTGTTCTGAATATTTAAAGCCAGCTATGTGTGATCCAAAGTGTTAGTCAGACTTTGAAATCTGATCCCAGACAAAAGCACAAAATGTGAGCCTAGTCTATTTCCATGTATCTAGAGGTCTGATTCAGAATCTGCCTCTGAATAAATTACTCACTGTGAATTTACTCAGCTGCAGGCATAATTAATTAACAACATGAATACAAAAGAATGAAATATGTCACTTTAAACATAGGTCACTACCTTTTCGCTATCTCATCACATTTACTATCTATAACAAAGTACAGCATATAGGTGGATTTTTGTACATAGGCACTGAAATGCAAATTTCTATTTATTTGGAGTGCAACATAGGAATGGAATTTAATCTGGCCTCAAAATTGTAGCTAATGGATGCAGTAAGAGCTTTGTAAAATATTAGTTATAGTTTTCAGAAGGATTTTTCTTCTATCCTGATATTTTTGCTCTATGCAGTTATGACATATTTGCTTTTAATGTTTAGTTTTCACGAAATTAATTTCATTTTACTATAGCTCTGAATTCAAAGATAATTAACTACAGTCTGAATGTTAATCATCCATCTGTTACTCAGCACTGGCCAATCACAAACATTCAAGACTTATGAGTCAGCTTTCACAGAAATCTTGGTAATGGTTGATTTTAAAATCATGAGATTATGAAAGACTCAGCAGCTGTAGTGTGTAGAGGTCCTTTCTTGTGTGTATGCTTTTTTTTTTTTTAAAACCCTTGAAGATAGAAGTGACACTCTGTTAGACTATTCTTTGTATAATGGAGGCACTTTCATAATAGAATTTAGATCCTGTAAGCCTTTACAATATGACTGGGAGCTACTACTGCATACTTTGTATTTACTATTCTAGTTGATATTACTGCACTTTTAAGTTAGCAGAAGATTATCCAATGATAAATCAACAACTGTTTCATTATGGAGCGGAAGATTCAGATTATTAGGCTATCCTCATGATTGAGTTTTCCTACCAAACATACTTACTATCCATTTATTAAAGAACAAAGAGCTGGGAATCTCTGCTTAAAAAGCCCTTAGGGAATTCCCTATCTGAAAAGGATAATTATGAAAAAAGCTTTCTATCTTAAGACTCATACTGTTTCCAGAAGAACAGTTTGCTAAGAGGCATTCTGTCAGATTGCCCACAGACATGGAAATACAGTGAAGAGCTATTCAGTTACAACTCCATATTTACATTAATTTGTTGAATAACCTGGAAAAAAAACAGTTGAATTCTCTGCCTCTTTTCTTCCTTTTGTTTATGTCAGGCCATGACAATGTATTTTTGGTATTCAGGAAAAGGATTCATTCATGAAAACTTTTCAGTCAAACCTGACAGTGGCACAGGAACATGCCAACACCTGCAGGATAGCGATGTTTCAAGCAATTTATCTGTAATAGATTTAGCAGTAACATTCATTGAGTATATTACAAGCTTTCCTACCATGCAAACCAGGATGACAGTACTTTTTTTAAGATGACCTTTCCTAGAAAGAAAATGGAGAAAACTGGGATTGACTGTTGCCTCAAAATAATTCCACTAGAATACCTAGAACAGAATGAGGTCAAGTTTTCCAACTGACAGAACCTAATTCTTTGTGGATACAGTTAGTTTATCTACTTGAGAGCTGATTTTTGTCTCAGTGATTTGGAGATGAGTATTCATCCCATGCTGCTCCTATAAGGGATTTTCACCTATACTCATTTTAGACAACATGAATATTTGCAGTGTTTGAAAATGCATGCAGACATGAAAAAGAAGAGTATTTGCTCACCAGATGGTGCTGCTTCCCTCTTAAAAACAATCAAATGAGGAAATCTGAGAAGTCTTTGTCCTGATAGCTTGTCCCTTGGGGTACCAAGCACAACAAGATGTGACCCCACCACCATCAATAGTGTCTGTTGAACTCATCTCAGTTACTTATGGTCATATCCAAAGAAACTAAAAGAATTCAAGCACACGAGTCACAACAGAAGGACTTGACTACTCACATGTGTGTGAGAGAAACTGATCTCAGAAGCCTACTGCACATGATGGCCTATATACAGGAGCACCACAGATTCACTTGTTCCTTACTGGCTGTTCCTGGACAAGCTCAGGCAGTTGTCAAGAGTGATCAGCTAGACATTTCCAAGATTCAGAGTTTTGATACCCCTGTACCTGAGAAGACTGCAAGCACAAGTTGAGGGTATTGGATTCTGTAAAGAATCCAGTCATTGTCACTGTTTCATTAAAGTAATTACTTTTGCAATAGAAACATAGAAATCAATTTTAGAATATCCTTTAGAAATGCATGTAATCCTACACGTGTGTAGGTCAGCGATTTCTGTAATCAGGTATGTTACTTTTCTCTGTATGGAGTAAACTTCTGTGTTAGACATTTTTGGGTAAAACTTCTAGGAAGTTCTAAGACATCAAGTCCTCTGTCAAATTTGCTTGCATAAATCCAGACAAACCCTGGGAGAAAGGAAGAGAGGGAATAAAATCAGAGCTGTTCTCAGTGTCACCTGTCTTCTGCAAGATAGCTTGGGATGTAAGAGCTCACCAGGAATTGCAGCCCTCAAGAGTGGCACCACCTACTTCAAGGCTTCTTTTTACCTGGAAACAGGTGAACACAATCTCTCACTCTTCAGAGCAATCTCAGTATTTACTTTTTGGATCTGTGCTACTACACACATCTATGGATAAAATATTACTGAGACCAGAAGAAAAAAAAAGTAACAGTGCAGTATTTAGGGCAGTTGTGAACAAATCAGACTGAGTTCCTAGTTTCTGCTCTCCAGTGTACACCTGATCACTACACAGTCTCTACATGAACATTAGTTTGGCATCACCATGATCTCAGCTCACTGAGCAGCTGAAGAACAACTTTTCCCTCCTTCCCACTCAATTATCCTTCAGTCTGATGATTAGAGGATACAAAGAGATGTCTCATCTGAAAGAGAAGTACAGCTCAGGTATCCTATTCTCTAAGCAAAGATATTACTTCTGGCCTTGAATATACTTTAGTAAAATTAGTTAAAAAACATTATCTGTACTCTAGGCACCCATCCCCAGGCTCTGAACAAAACAGGGCCTGTTTCCTCTAGCTGGGAAGAGCAGGAGGTGTGTCAGGGGAATTCCCTTCTCAAGATGTTGAAGATTTGTTGGCTCCAGAAATCACCTTGCTTCCCCATAAGGCAATGACACCCTAGTCTGCCATTCTTGGTTCTCCTGCCAATCACATAACAATATACAGACAAATGCCTAGATAGTGCCTGTGTGCTTTGTATCCAATTGGCCAAGTAAGCCTCTTTACCACTGGAACAGTTGCTAAGACAGATTTAATATACTACAAAAGTCTTAAAATCTATTGACTGCAATATGATACACTTTTGCAATCTCCGTAGGAAAAAAGTCACTACTTACAGCAACTTTCAAGGATCCTGCTGCCCTCACCAGAATTATCCTGCAGCACCCTCTCTTATTTATACTGAGAAATAGCATTATGAAAGCAAAGCGTCCTCTAGAAAATATTAACCAAGGCAGACAGGTGTTATTACATTAGGAACAGAGCAGAGCAAACAGAGAAGGCAATGTTTTGGAGAAGGCAGCTGACTCTTGCTGTATATACGTGGCCTAACCCTGCCTTCACTTACAACAGTTGTAAGAGTTCTCCTGCATTTCTGCACTGTCTCCTGCTGGGAAATCAGCCCTTCACTCTGGTAAATAGTTTGCATACACCATTAACTTCCACAAATAACCTGACTATTAGAACTACTGAAATGAGTAAAATTAAACACATTCATAATGCTAGATAAAACATTAGGAAAAGACTGCTAGATGCACGCCATGGTCAGATCTCATGTCAATATTCTTCCTCTTCACACCAGAATGTTAATAGCTTTATATGGTTTATTAACTTTAAATTATCCAATCATTCTTAATTGTCTAATAAGGCACAGGTGTTAGAGACTGCACTAGTAAACTTAAAGGGGTAATATCAGTGTATCTAGTGTCTGAGGGTTGTTGTAGGGATAGTGATGACAGAGATGGATACTATATTGCCTGTGCTACCCAAGCCAGACTGATGTGACCATGCGTGTAGGTGGACAATCAGCAATATTATGGCCTAGTGTACTGCCACCAACTGCAACTACTCCCAAATTGCAGGTGAGGAAGCATCAGGCTAGTAGGCTAGAACATGATTTGTATGAAGGTGGATCCATCAGGAAGGCCACTTGTGTTTTATATGATCCTTCTTCACTGCAAACTCCTTGCAGAAGTCTGTAGCCCTACAGCACTGTGGAGGAGGAGCATTAGGATCTGTGCTAATGTGAGACTGGAGAATATAACACGTAATTGCATAGCTGAGCACCTCACATCCAGTAGGAGCATCCCAATGACAAGTGGGAGAATCACAGCAATAACTTCACCTTAAAGGAGGCATTGCTGAATCTTCTGTGGAGATTAGGGTTTTTCTTTGCAGATCATGTGTTGAAACAAGGCTTTACATTCTGCATGGCTGTGGTGTTGTTACAAATTCTGTCTTTCTAGGCTTCTCTGTGCCTTTCACATATGCAAAGGCAAACAGAGTTGTTCAGTACCGGTTTGGATCTAGAGCATTTGTTTGAGTTGTTTACCAGCTGGTGAAATGCTAGTAAAGCAGCTGAATGCTTCAGTGCTTAATGTAAGCGAAAGCAGTCCCCAGAAGTACAGAGCTTTACTTTAAATGTCTACAGGTGAACAATAATAAGCACCAAGAAACAAGTGACAACACAATGAAGTACAAGAAATACAGCTAAGATTAAAGTTATTAAAAATGTGGAAAAAAACAACCGACTTAACATGACTTCATTTAAGAACAGTTTATTCTAGCAATGAAAAGTGTCCTTTAGCTGCTGATACCTGGATGAGAATGCAAGAGGAAAAAATGAATAAAATCTACTGTGTACCAATCTCTGATGTTATCAGCATTGTTGTCTGATCTTTTTTTTTTTCTTGAGTATCCAACAGTTTCATCAACCATCTGTATTATCCTGAGATTTGCTGACACTCTTCTTCAATATTTGATAAAATATGAACACACAGCATTTTACTTTCTAGAGTCAATGGGCTGCTTCTCTGCCATTATGAAAAATAATTCATAACAGTGCTTCCATTTGCTCCTCTAGATCTGGGTCAAACTACATTAGGCATCTTATTATTTTGAACTCCAATTTACTTTTTTAGTATTATTATTGCAAGATCTTAATAACACTATTTCACCTTCAGTAAATTGTCTCCATTAGCAAGAGTCATCCAGCATGAAGTCCCTTGGAAACAGGCTGGCTGTAGTCCAAAATGAATCAATTATTTAAATTAGAAAAACTGCATGCTTGCTTCCCTAGTGGAGGAACACTTTGATCTCTTTAAAATATTTAACTGATTATCCTGAAACCTGTTTGAAACCACAATGTGTTGCTGTTCTGATGATGCCCTCTGGAGTACAGAGAGCACATATAATGCACTGAGATGACATGACAGTGTGTTGCTGCTGAAGGCTACAACTCTGTATAATTAATGAATATACAGATGTTATAGTTACAAAATATACCAGAGAATTTGGCTATACAGTTATTATATCAAAACAGAACAGATAGAACGCTTACCCATATCCTGGGCTTGCTATGAAACTCCAGAGAAGAGGATCTCCAGAAGAGATCCTTCCCCCTGGTATTCAGCTCTTAAATGGGTCTAGGAGAGGTGGAGCCTGTCTCCACTCCTTCTGGCAGCACAGGTGAATTGCCTTCACCTGTGCTCCCATGGCTGACTCATTGCTTGCCTCAGGTGATCAATCAGAGGTTCAGGTCGTGATTCAGCAGTTCCCATACATTCTCTCACTCTCTCTGCACACAGCTATATTTAATTTGTGTACCTCTGTCTCTCAAGGTGTTTCAAGGGGAACTGCACTCTTAATTAGACAAACAGCTCAGAAGTGACTTCCTGGATGAAGTTACCCTCAGTGGCAATAAAGAGAAGGTACAGCGATGTCAAGGCTCTGCTCCAGTCCTTTTAAGCAAAGATATGACAGATCTTCAACCTTAAGCCGTGTCTTCCTCTATTTTGTGTTGTACATCTCTTGACTCCTGGCAGCCCCAGGCAGGATGTTCCTGCTCACTCCAGGGCTTTTAGATCTCTCCCCACCTTGAGAAAATAGAAAAAAAATGACTGGTTTTCCACTGATCGATTGATTAGATTTCACAGGTGTTAATACTTGTGTAAAGAAGGAAGGGAGAAGAGATTGCTTAGAGGCCAGGATCATAGAATCATCTGAAGGGACCCTTAAAGGTCATCTAGTCCAACTCCCCTGCAATGAACAGGGAGACCTAGACTTGATCAGGCTGCTTGGAGTCCCATCCAGCCAGATCTTGAATGTTTCCAAGGATGTGGTAACTACCATATCTCTTGGCAGTTATTTTTGGGAAGAGTTTGTGCTCAGATTTAATTTGACTTGCCATGTTCAAGGCTGAGTTAGGAGAAGTGGGGCTAACAGGTTAAGTGAAGTGTTGATTCTCCATGATAGTGTGCTCAGCATCCTCCTCCAGCCTGGCTATTACACTAGACCTTGCTCAGACTGACAGAGAGCACAGTGCTGATTACACTCAAGACCATGCTAAGACAAAAACCACACATCTGTCTCAAACTGGGTGCTGGAAGAACTGATGGCAGACACATGCTTAAACAGATGAGGGACAACTGAACTTGTCCTAAAAATGTAACTTTTTTTCAGTCATCTTACCTGGTAAGTATTAAGCAGCCCAAGAGCCCTTGAATTCTGCTGCTTAGCAGCCGGTTGCACAGCAGGATCTCCCTGAGAGTAGGGGTGGCTGTTGAGGTTATAGCTGTACAGAGATCCCTTAAACCTTAATGCTAAGATGCCTTGCCAGTATAGATACTTGGTAAGTGTCTAATAGTTTATTTAAGCTTTGTTAGCTTTGCTGGGATTATATTTTAGAATTATTGTTCACATATAATCCCTTAGACATGAACTGTTGACCAAGTCTGGGATGAGGAGTGGATCCAGCTACACTTAGACTCCTTTCCTCTGCAGTTCAAGAAGTTTGAAAAGCTTTGGTGTGCTTTGAACGTCGTCACTCAGCAGGAAGGCCTTCACATTTTAACAGAAATTACTGACCAAGCCTGGCAGTACAGGAGGATTAGATTGCATCTATGCTTCTCTGAGTAGGATCTTAGAAAGAAAAGGGATCCACTCTGAACCTCATTTCTCAACTGGAGGGTCTCCTGGATTAATGTGTTTAACCTTACTCTTTATGCTGTTAATAATCAAGTTTATCTTACCATCTTGAATCTTACTGTCACAGTCTTCTTTGTTAATTCACTGTATTTTATCAGTAAATACATTCCTGCTTCTTTCTTATCAGTGAAGTGTATTTTCCCTCCATGATATTCTGCTCTATGCTATCTCCCCTTTTGGGTTCCCTTGTGCAAGAGAGGTGAGGACATCCTGAGTGAGAATAGTAGAGAGACACCAAGGTGGTTGAAAGGCTGGAGCCGAGGACAAAGGCAGGGAGGCTAGGACACTAGGACTTATTCACCTTGGAGAAGAGAAGGTCATGCAGGAGGTCCTGCAGTCTTCATCTGTGTAACAGGTAAGGTTAGGGAGAAGATGGAGCCAGGGTTGCAAAGCTATAGTGTGAGTGGCAGGGGATGGAAGCTATAGCAAGGGAAATGCAAATTAGTATAAGTAAAATAATGTTCAGGGATTATAATCAAACATGATGACAGATCAGTCTGTGAGGCTGTGAAATCACTGTCCTTGGAGACATACAAAACCTAGCTGGATATGGCCCTGAGCAATTTGATCTAATTTCCAGGCTGGTGCTCCTTTGAGTAGGTGGTGGGATTGGATGACCTCCAGAGGTGCCTTCCAACCTAAATTATTATCATAGAATCCTTAGAGTTGGAAGAAACCACTGAAGGCCCTCTAGTCCAAAGCTCTTGCAACAAACAGGATATCCACAGTACACTGGATTGCCTGGGGCCTTATCCAGCCTGACCTTGAAAGTCTCCAGGGGCAAGACATCAACCACATCACTGAGCAGTGTGCTCCAGTGCCTCACCACTCTCACTGTAAAAGACTTTTTCCTTATATCTAAGCTAAATCTACCTGTTTGAGCTTGAAGCCATTTCCCCTTGTTCTGTCACCACACACCCTGTTAAAGAGTCTGTCTCCTTTCCTGTAGCTAATCCAAATGACTGTGAAATCCAACTCCCAGGAGAACGTGCTTCCATTCACACAGCAGGTTTGCATCTCAACTCTGTTGAGAAATCTCTCTGCTGCTCACCATGTAACTCCGGTGGCTTTTCCCAAAACACTTGGGAAGCTGCTGCCTCCCTCATCCTATGGCACATCGCAGCAGAGCTGGCACAAGACAAGCAGGCAGCCTCCCCCTCCACTGCTCAGACACAGCCTCTGCCAGGGCTCAGCACAAGACATGACACTAGGAACAAACAAATCTGGCAGGCCATCTGCCCTGTTCCCAGCAGGCACACGCACCCCACCGCAATAATGCCCAAGCTTAGGCTGTGCTTCTCCCCTCTGAAACCTTGGAATTTCATGGAAGTAGTTGTGATTTCAGTAGGGATTCATGCAGCTGCTTTGATTTCTCCACACCTGCCTGTAATAAAGTCCTGCTAATGATATGCTTTTTAAAAGCTTAGGTGGAAGGGGAGGAGGGGAAACATTGAGACTCAGAATAGGCAAGCTTGAATGACTATTTTAAAATCAGAAACACTTAGCAGTCATTTTCCTTCACAAAGGTCCATTAAGATGATCAATTTTCAGTTACATCCTTAGTGAAGCCTTAAAGCTGTTGAGAAAATCACTTTTTTAATTCAGTTTACTTCCTGGAAGTTGCACAGCACATATGGCTGCAGGTGGCTAAGCAGGTCTGGTTCTCTGTGATCTAGTCTAGGGACAGACAAAGAATTCCAAAGATGAGCTTGTGTGACTGTGGGAGGAGAACTGTCTCTGATTATTGGTGGAGTTTGACCAGAGTTTGGAAAATATTCAAATGCATGTTAATTTGTTTTGTGCACTTAGATTTTTTTTATTATCTGAGTAGAGTTGTGTTCCTCTTTCATGTGCAGTTATAAAAAATATATATGAGTGGGTCTGAGAACAAATGTTGACAGTATTATCTGTGCAAATTTCATTTCTCTATCTGTTTGCAGTTATTTCCTCTTGAGAGTTGTAGGGAAGAGAAAGAATCCGTTGTTTTTATGCTCTAAAATGATGTGGTCAGAACACCTTCAGTGTTAATATCTTCATTTTGATCATGCCTGGTTCTTTGGCCAAAGGATACCCACAGGTTTTTGCAAGATTTAACAGATTTAACAATTCTGCACGCCTCTGGACCTGTGTTGTGAGATGAATAGTCCATAAGAGATTTAAAACCAGGTAATGCCAAAATTTAAGGTCTGCACACATCCTGTAGAAACACCTTCTTTCAAGTCCCTCTAAAAGTCCCTGCCCCAGCAGACTAAGACTAACTTATTCTTTGATTTGATTTCAAAGCCCAGAGATCTACTGTGACCTGTTTGTTAGGCTGATTGCTCCAGTGTTTGCATTGTCTTCTCTTCCTCCAGAATCTCAGTTTTTGTCCCATCCACCTGTGGTGATTGTACACCCCAGAAATTGGTAGTATGGGCGGGCTCGTGCAGGCAGTAAAATGTGAGTCTCTTGGATGGGCTGTCACACTGTATGGCTTAATGGTGAGATACATCAGCTGCAAATTCCTGCAGTTATGAAATGTCAGCATTTCTTAATGCCTTTTAGCCAGACAGGTGGGACAGATAAAGAAAATACTGAATCACTCTACGCCCAAAACAATCAAGGATGCCTGATTTCTCCTTAATTCTGGATCACTGGATCCAATCTCAGGATCTCCAGAATCCCAGGCATCCCTACAGACTGGAAGGAGCGGTCCTTGAGAGCAGCTCTGTGGAGAAGGACCTGGGGGTCTTGATAGGTGAAAAAGTTAACATGAGCCAGCAGTGTGCCCTTGTGGCTCGGAAGGCAAATGGTATCCTGGGCTCCATCAGCAGAAGGGTAGCCAGCAGGGATAGGGAGGTGATTGTCCTCCTCTACTCTGCTCTTGTGGGGCCCCATCTGGAGTACTGTGTCCAGGTCTGGAGCCCCCAGTACAAGAAAGACAGAGAGCTGTTGGAGAGGGTCCAGGGGAGGGCCACAAAGATGATCAGGGGACTGGAGCACCTCCCCTATGAGGACGGCTGAAGGAGCTGGGCTTGTTCAGCCTGGAGAAAAGAAGGCTGCAGGGTGACCTCATTGCAGCCTTTCAGTACCTAAAGGGAGCCTACAAACAGGAGGGGAATCAACTCTTTGAAAGGGTAGATAACAGCAGGACAAGGGGAAATGGTTTTAAGTAGTGGGAGGGAAAATTTAGGTTGGATATCAGGGGGAAATTCTTTACAGAGGAGTGGTGAGGTGCTGGAACAAGCTGCCCAGAGAGGTTGTAGATGCCCCATCCCTGGAGGTGTTCAAGGCCAGACTGGATGGGGATTCATGATCCTTGAGGTCCCTTCCAACCCTGGCCATTCTGTGATTCTGTGATTCTATGATTTTGTGAATCTCACAGCACTTATTTCTGTACCTTATATAAGAGTAGGTTATATAAGACA